TTGTCAAAAAGGAACTGTACGTTTAATATGCATCTAAGTAATAGTCAAGAGCATAAATAGCTTTATTCTGGCGCACATGGTCGATTCTGGACATCGGGTGGACCCCAACGAAGCTTTCCAAGTGATCTACAGGGTCCCACCAAATTATTCAAAATTACTTAGGCAGCGCTCAGCCGCTAACACAACCACACACGGCTTATCACTGGCCTCGGAAACCGCCCCCCCCCGCCCCAGAGATGGACAAGTCCTTAATTCACTCGCGCGCACCTTATCACCTGTCTTGGCTGACGGTCCACTCAGACACTGACATTTTGACCTCAATTCCGCCGACCCCCTTCCCGCCCCGTGACAACAGCGACGCCACATCTTTCCACCAACCACCATATTATATTTGTTTCATTATCTCGTAAGTGTACAGGCGTCAATGGAGTTTATCAAAAGCTCGCCAATGTAGCTGTTGATATTTCACAATAGGATAGTTTTCCGAAGATGCGTCCACTTCGATGCGGGCTAACTGGAGGACGGTATCGCTAACTCACCTATTGCGTTCATCCCACGCAGATATTAGCGATCAAACCTAAATTCTACAGCTATTTTAGTGTGGCGTAAGGCCACTTATGTCTGCCCCCTCCCCCCCCCTTCGTTCTGCAATGCTCGCGTCCCCCAACGTCATTTGTCTTTGCACGCGCCTGTTCCACTTGGTGACCCGAAGACCACCACTTGATCTACTCCCACTCGCAGACATACGTGCGCACACACGTCCGCACATGCGTGCTCGAATAATCGCGGCTCCCAAAGGACCACTTCACACACCCCCTCTTTAGCCAACGCAGCACGGGGCCTTTACAGGCAACATCCGTTCGGGCAGCTTGCAACACACCAATAGCAAACCACTTGAACTTGCTTCACAATCCTACTAAAGCAACTGTCATCACACCCACACAACAGACAGTCAATTCGCTCAGGCCTGGCTGGACGCAGTCGGGACCAGCCCTGGCTTCGTCAGTGGCCACTGCTACCTGAGACTGCAACTAGGAGTTCTGTATACAATAAACCACTCCTTTTGGTTATCTCTTGTCTTTTACCTTCAACGTGGGGACGTCGACCTGATTATTGTAGTGATTCGACTACATCCACTACTTAGACCCCCAAAAATTGGTGACCACCCCGACGTAATTTGAATGCGCATTCTTCGGAGCACAACAACTGCTCAAATCCTTCTGATCTGACTGACAAATTCATGAAATTTCCAACTCCACTTCACCGTACTGTTTTCCCTGCGTCACTCATCGTGTCCATGGATAGGGAA